GACTAGGTTTGCAGTCATCAATGGTTCAGTCATCATTTCTAAATCTCTTATGCCATAATTGTAGATCTACCTGGGGTCGTGAATTCGTAGGATCCGTGACCCGATCTGAATAAATTTCGTCATGGTAATGATGCATTCTGGGATTAATTTTGTAATTTATCCGAACATTGGTAGATTCGTTATTGAGGAGAGCATGAGTTTGTGTGGCTGTGAGGCCAAATGAAATATTAATGTGGGCCTTCTTATCAGATTTGGCAGCCATTTCTGTAATTTTATGACTGTGATGGCATTTATTGGGATATGGTGAACTAAATTCAATGTTTTTCTGTTATTATACGAATTATTGAAAACTTTCTGTAAAAAACACGAACCTTTATGAAATGTTGACTTATTGACTACAATTCCATGCAAAAACTATTTATATATACTGTTTTTGTTAACATTTTTTGTTTTTAGTGCAACTGTTTTTTTGTTCCTTTTTACCAATTCTAGAGAATAAAATAAAATATCTTTCCAAAGCTTGTTGGAACAAAATAGCATATTCAACATTTCCTTAGACCTTTCAATATTATAGTTAGTTATACAAATGACATTTTGGTTTATTATTATTAAGATAAACCATTTATATATTTTATTAACAAGATAAACTTTCCTTTGTACAATTACAATATTGAGAGACCTACAAACGATGTGTTTATGTCGTTTTGTTCCAATGGGGTTTGGATAGATGTTTCATTTCATTCCAAACGTATATACTATAAGTACGCTATTGGTACACATTTGAAATCGCCAATATAATTAAGACGTCTATAAAGATCTCGGTCTTCGTTTAACATGTATTTCGACATAATTTATAATGATTTATATATATCCTTCTTGCTATTATATAAGGCAATTATTCGAACTGAATTTTATGAAATATCCTCTATGGTTATTCAATTCACAGCCCTTCGAAATAGCTCTCAATTGAATAAAAACACCCTAAAAGGCGTGTTCAACGTTTCAACGAGGAACGAAACGAAATGGCCATGTAGTATGTAAAAGTGTAGATCTTTTTAACTGTTCCATCAATGTTTATGATATTTTCAGGATAATACCCTATTTCACGGATCATCAATTCTATGCAAAGATATTTACAAATAACGAACAGCGTATGACGTCACAATAGCTATTGTCGCAATCGTAATTGTGAGTGACTCGTGTTCAACTCTGACTTATTCAGCCTGCGTATGGTACTTAAATGTAGATTTTGTGAGTTATATAGCAGTTTGTCATACAGTTGTTATTTTGTTGATTCCGGAAAAGTTTCACGAACATACTGAAACTATACTTATCAGTGATTCAGATGTAAATGTATCAGCCACGATGGATTTTGTATGAATATTAGGAGGGAAGCCTCGTCAAAATTACAATATTTTGCAATGAATCATCTCAAATTCTTATGGTCAACAATAAAGAAGATCTTTGTTATACAAGAAAGTATATTTGATGACCTGGTGGCCATATAAATCTCGTAAATTCTATAAAATATTGAAAAATGTCCAAGTGAAGCCTCCGTGATAAAAATCCCCGTTAAAATCAATTGGGCATTTTCAATCTATGCGAGTGTGAGTATTTTAATATTTTGAGTCCTAAAAAATATTTTTCTCAGCTGCGCATCAGGTGATTATAATGTATTAAAAAATTAGAGACTCTATTTTAGTTTTTCACCTTTTAAAATGAATGATACCAGAGTCTGAACTAAATGTGCATAGACCGTTTTGACGTCATTTTACACACAAAATGGGGACTTTGTGTCCCCTTTCATCGGAATAAGCGAGGACAGATTTTATTGAAATAATCTGATAGCTTTTTTATTTGCCTGCGCATGTTCCATATATTACAGTGGTACCAAATGATAGGGTAAACCATACTTCTTCATGAACATATACCGTATTCTTTGAGTCTTAAAGAATAGAGACATTTCCGCCTTATAGGTTATAATACGCGAGAAAACGTAAAAAGCGCGCGATTGATGAGTCCCGCATCAAAAGTTAACAGAACAAATTCTCTACAAATCATAACTTTCAATCATGATGAATTCTCATTTGAAATAAAGATGCACGTGTCATTTTGATGTAATGATTATCTATTGATATTATTAATGATTATATCTTGTAGGATTTGCATATAAATTCATCAAAAATGGAAGATTAGTACAAAGTTTTCAATTTTATAGTTCAGAATATTTGTCTTGGTTTCCATGTTTATTCAATTTTAAATCGATGTTTTGATTGAAGTTGCTTGGTTTGTTTTGAAATACCTTTTCATCGATTCATTCCTTAGATAGAATATAGGTAATAAAAATGTAATGTGTCATTTTCATAATTTTATGTTCATGCTTCAGTGAATTTCGAAGGAATAATGACGTCGTCGAATGTTCGTCAAATTGCGAGAATATTTTTCATAACGTCACATTTCATTGTTTCCTGTGAAACGGGAGTGTGCACCAATAGCGTACTTATAGTAATAATACCAAGAACAAAAGAAGTGTCTGATGTGTTTTTTAAAACAATATAGAGAAAAGAATATATATTTATTTCAAATCCAATTGTTACCATTCAAAAAATGACGATTAAGTTGACGATGAGTAAAATTTTCAGAATTTTGTGATGATTGGTTTAAGAGATACGTGTGTTCAAAAGTTCACAATATCGATACCCATCCTTTGAGACAGGTGAACTGTGACATAATGACATCACTATGCTAAATGTCATTATTTGTGCTTGGTGAACATCATGCTGACAATTTCCAAAACATTTTGATCCTTAAAAGAAAGAAATATGAATATAATAAGACTTGAGAGCTTTCCATGATTAGAAAGATTGGTACCTGTCCGACTCATCGCTGACTCCGTTTTGCTATAGCAACCATTTTAAAATTTGATATCAATACGTGTGATGTTGCAACTTCAGGATATATCAGATAACACTTCAATTGTAATATATAAAACTATTTTAGCTGAATTGAACATTATCAAAGAGAGCCAGAGCACATAGTGCATTGTACTTCTGGGACAACCCTCGTTTAACTTTCTGAATTTATAGTTATATATCTTTCTATATCACCAAACCGAACAATTTTTCAAAACGTCTTTTCCCGTTCTAAAAATCATAAAATTTGCTATAGTCGAATTAATGTTTAAAGATTCTCGCAATCTTTATCCAATCAGCGTTTGCGATGTGTATCGGCTCAAGTATAAAAGGCGAATCCAACTCAAATCCATGCAGGGGTGTATGAGGTACTCGAATAGGAAAGAGCTCGTGTAATCTGAATTTATATGCACATGGTCAATGTTTACACATGTTTGGAGTTATTGAAGAAAATGTGATATGGGTGTGGTTCCGGATTTGAAGTCATTGCTGGAAAATATGATTTTAATACGTGAAATTATATCATTCTGTAAATACAGCACTAAAAATAACAGTACACGTGAAGTACATGTATGATTGTGTCCAGAAATGTTTGAAACCCTTACGGAAAATTCTGTCTGCATTTTGTCACCATTGCTCTTTCTTCCCGCATTCTAGTGCTGTTTGAATGAAAATATTAATTAATGTATTTCTAACTAAAATATATCACATTTTTTTATAAACCACAAACATTTAGATCATGAAAAAATTATTCAATACTTGAGTGAGCACGATATGCAAGGGTTACTAAGTTGATACAGTAAATGACCGCTGATATTGTGTTAGTCCATGCACACAGCGTATTCTGCTAAGGCCATAAGAAGTAGATTCTTTGTTTTGCGTCCTGGCAAAATCCAAATCATGCAAGGGTACAAGAAAAACAAACACAAACTCAAGAAAAAAACACAAACTTGTTTGCTGAGAAATATATACATTTTAGGGGCATAAAAAAGGATGACATCCCAATTTGCAGTGATTACAAACACATATCTATACATTTTATACAATATATAAAAACATAGCTATTATTCAAGGGTAAAAAATAAGAAAAAACACAATGTATGTCAAATAATTATAACACTGTCAATTTTGACGCACATCAAATTATCCGCCATTTCATCTGATTCTGAAATGCGATGGTACTTTCAGACCCTTGTGATTGCTATTTGGATGTGTTTGTTTTTTCTGATTTACTCAAAATCGTGCAAGCAAGGGGACGCAAAACAGAGGATCTACTTCTTATGGCCTAATACACATTTGCTAACACCCCCCACTTTCATAGTGAAGTGACTAATTGGTTTATGTTTACGTTTTAATGTGTTTTGGGTTCCTTGTTACAGCAAGGGGGGCCAGTAAAGTAGACTAACATGTTTGCATGGCAAATTTTGATCGAATATGTGAGACACTTTAAATATACGATCTAAATCTCTTTGTTTCACTCCATATGATTTTAAATGTGAAGTACTAAAATAGAGTCAAGAAATAATTAATTTTGAATACGAAACAATTGTGAGGTCCAATATACATGCATATTACGTATTGCTGTTTCCCATAGTAATAACAAACTGAAAACCCAAAATAAAACGTGAGAACCATATAAAATGTATTATAGCGCGATCACATTTTGTGCCTGTTAATTGTACCAGTATGTTCGTCTAAGTTTGATGTCAACAGTAATTGAGAATGATGTACATGTACTTCTGTCGGGGTATGTACGGTATGGTGAAGGCTTATTCAATTAAAAAACAACGTTTCAAACACGTAATCGCAATCTCGAGAAAGACATTTGTTACCCTAAATTAAAATAATCAAATAATTACAAGTACAATTTAAATTAAACTATATGGGTTTCATTCATTTGAAGATAATATATCGCTCTGTTTGCCTATTTATAAAGCCTACTCGAAAACGCAAAGTAGATTGAACATATTTCAAAATCATCTTTGAATTAAATCTGAGTGTTGTTATTTTCGCATAAAATGTGTCTAAATCATGAAATGTGACAGCTTTGCCATTATGTAAACAACGAATCCATGCGCAATTCTGAGAACTCAGAGCATAAGTAAGATAAGTCTCGTTTTTTATATATTCACCACATTACATCAGGGATAAAACTATTGAAAAACAAATGGTCATTTTATAGTTGATTAAACAAGCTGTGAAATTAAACGTTTTTTGACATATAAAGGTGAGTATGTAATGATTTCTAAAAAAGATATAATAAGTTAATTCAAATCCATCTTTTTGATTTGTGTTCTGTATGTTCTGTAATCGGCGCTCGGTGTTCGGAGATCGGTTTCTGTATAGAATGGCAGGTGGTGTCACATTGCGCATGCCAATGCGTTGTTTTTTTCTTTTCTGCCACACTTGGATCATGGTCTCAACATTAGCATGACTGGAGTTGTATGAATAAAAGTGGTTGTACATTGAATTGGCCGTTGTCCATTTGTATCTTTTATTTCGCATTGCACTTTATCAATTGACCAGACTGTGAGACATTATTTTAAAATTCTCCATTTATCAAAATTTGAGCCCACAGTCCCCATTCGATTACTAAATATCAAAAGAATCACCGAATCCCCTATTTTGGACAGGATTCGCCTTTGCGTTCACGAACATTCTCGCTTCGATTTTGTCTCAAAAAATTATATAGATTTTGAATCGCGGTTTGACCTTTCGAACGTGATGATCTGTTCGTGTTTTTCAATGTTGTCTAGCATTGTGTAAATTCCTATGATAATAGTACTATATAATATCATTAGTTATATGTTATCCTAAGAATACTACAGCCAGGCCAGAAATGAAAATTATCTGTCGGCTGTTTTTGAAGATAGCCCACTTGGTATTGGTTTCATTGTCGTCATTTTTACGCGTTCACGCCTTAATTTTATTGTCTTACCCAGACTTAATCGTGGCATATATACTTTCGTATTCCAGAATTTTTTTAGCTGCAACAAGATGATTCAAAGCCAAACACTTTGCTATAATATAAGCCATTTAAGATAAACAGCACAAGGAAAATCAAAGGTGAACGGGTACTTCTATAACTATATTGTATTTATAAGTTATAAACATAATGGATTTATAAACATAATTAAGTGTGTTGCGAAATCTCTTTAATATCTACTTGTTTCCCTACTTAGTGAGGCTTCCAAGAGCATTTCATTTTATAGTTTAGTTCAGTTTATTTATTTATAGATAAAAGAAGATCAAAGAACAGAGGAGTTTCAACAGACAACTTGCGGAATTTGATAATAAACTAAAACAACTACTCAAGGAGAAGGGTCAAGCTATTCAAGCAAAGCTGGGTTGCAGGAAGGATGTTGCAAGTGTGTCGGGTAAATTGTCTTGAACTTTTGTGATATAAGTAAAGTACTGGTTAAAAAGCTACAAATGCACTGTTTTTTGTTTACTACAGATTGCAACATATCCTCAAACCTATATTTTTGTAAATGTTTCTTCAGGTTGGCAATAAACATATTTAATAATTGATACTTTTTGACGCAACCTTAGTTCCCTTTTTAATATTGCCGTCTCGAAAAACCTCGTTCTACTTCCTCAGAATAGCTCCCTTGTGATGTGTCTGTCTGTCGGCAACGATTCTTATCACCATAGTAATGTTGATGAAAAACGCAAACATATGAGAGTTTTGAATTACCACAGTCTCTGTTCATACTATTAATGTTTTTTTTATCATTCACAAAAATGGTGTCGTGAGAACTCTCCTATGCAGAAAATGACGGTGAAATTAATATTGTTTTAAATAGAAATTTTATCAGTTATCATCACTTATGGGACACTCTGTAAGTCCAAATACCATCAGAACTTAGTGTTTGGTTGCTTTAAGTAAAATAATATTCCGCAGTAAAATGCATTGTAATGTTACCAGAATGAATCGATGGTGTTAGCTATATAAACTGGTTATATATATATTATGTAAAAACGTATTTCTAGAGGATTACTAGCACGCATTGAGATGGTATAACACAATTGAACTATTTTATACAATGTGAAAGTTTATTATATGGCATCTGTAATATATTTACCAGAAAAATCAACCTCCAAACGCAGGGGTCAAAACATCAGACACTCTGAAATGAACAGAGTGGGGCATATCTTGAGCACCCCATTCGGAGAATGAACCGAAGTACAATGAATGAAATTAATTTAAGTTCCGTTTTCTCTTTCAGCGAAGGCAGAGAGTTTTGAAATACCTCGGAATAACAGGCCTCCTTGTCTTGCTGGTTCAGCTTTATGTCTATCAGAGGGCGACAGTTCCCCTTAGTGACAAAAAAATCGCTCAAGACCCATCACTTGTTGACCGAATTCGGGAAGGGAAGGATTTAAGATCATTGGATATCAACGTGAAGAAGTTCAATGATGTCTGGCAGATTGTTAATTCCACAGAGGAGATGTATTTATTCTCTGCATTTTACGATGACCGTCCATCTCTATTAACTGATCCCGTCATTCGGGTAATCACTGTTTCAGAAGACCAAATAGAACAAAGAAAAGCGTATTGTTATCTCTGGTTCGGTGAATCAACAGACCCGTTCGTTGAAGAAGCGGACGTTTTAAGGCTGGGTATCGGAGGTTGGCGTCATGGGAAACATTTCCGAGAACGACTTTGTACATGTAAGTTGCGAAAAGCTGATGAGATCCCCAAAGCAGTATCTATCGAGCTAGGAGATGCGAATTCGAATCCTCCCAAACCATCTACATATTTAACAATTCAACATCCTGAAAAACCGACCATAAAACAAGATTTTATAAGTTGTGTGTCCGTGACATTTTGGAAGATTGACCCTCATAGAATAGTCGAGTGGATGGAGCTACACAAAATATGGGGTGTCCACAAGGTCACTATCTACAACAGCAGTATTGCTGACGAATCTGCGAAGGTTTTTTTACATTACCAAAAAGAGGGATTCGTTGATTTTCGACAGGCTCCGCAGTTTTTACCCGACCCCGGTGAAATGTCTATTCTTCTCACTATGATACCCGTCATATTGGACTGTCTCTATAGAAACATGTATAAATACAACAAAGTTGTTGTTACGGACTTGGATGAGATGATAGTTCCCCGGACAACTCTAAATTATAAAGCATTGCTGAATGAAATAGACAAACAACAACCTAGTGACCACAAAGCACGTGCTTATGTGTTTCGGAATGACTTTTTCTTTATGGATCCGCGGATGCCAGAAGACAAAGAAATGCCTGATAAACTAGTCACCTTACGACACAGAGTCCGGGTGCAGCCATGCGCACCGGGCAATTCGGTGAAGTCAATCATTGACCCACAGGCGTGTGTTGTCATGCATAATCATTTCTGTTCGGTTCGGACAAACGGTCACGACACAGATGGTAACACAGTTCATGTTAACATTGAACTAGGGCTGAACCAACATTATAAGAAATGTCACCTTGATAAACTGACTGGGCCGGGAGAATGTGCTCGGAGGATGGAAGAACAGACTAAAGATGACACGATGCTGAGGTTTAAAGATCAACTTATGAGGAATGCATCAAGACAGTTTCGAGTATTGGAATTAGGTACATTATAGCGCCACAATGATTCAATTCTTAAACACACAAAACTCTGATGCTGAACGGGTTTTGACACGATAGTGTTTATATCACTCCGTATTCGATGTTTTGTTTCAATTTTATTACGGAATAATCATACAATTTTATGAAAAGACGTAACCTTTTCCTACAGGAATGGGGATAATGCTTTATAGCAAGTTTTGACGACGATACTGTAATAGCACATGCGCTAGGGAATTTATTCTACTTTCCCAAGACACCAAATACATCTCTGTTGATAGAAGAATGAAAAAGTCTGAGGGTCCCAACCTCCTTTCTTGTCATAACTTTTTGAAATTTAAACCAACCGATTTTACTTCCTGGCGACGGATAATTTAGTTCTTTACGGACCGAGCATGATAAATTGGTTCAGTATATCTCCAAATATACGATTTCAACGTTTAAAAAAACAAAAGTCCACTTGGTTATACGGAATGGGTCGAATCATGATGTAGGTTTAAAAATTAATCTGAGGAATGCATAAAGGATTTCAAGTTTAATTTCGTGTGTATTCTATTTGGAAGACTGTATTAAATCTACCCACCAACAATAATCGGTTGGAAAATGTTTTTCACATTTCCTTTGATCATTTTTTCCCCTGCCGCCTAAGAGTGTCGATTTATTGAATAACCAAGGTTAACCTGTGTAAAGATAAAGCTTGAGTATGTCAATAAAACTCTCAATAATTGAATCATTGAAATAAGATCACAAAATATTGACAACAGACCCTTAACGCTGAGATAACGCCCAAATGGGGAGAAGGATTATACAATTGAAACAGTATGATGAACATAATTCTAATAACTTAAAATAGCAATTAATTTGAAATTGTTTCACAAATGAACATCATCACAATTTTCGCACGTAGTAAGACCTCAAAAGTACCAAAGACGGGAGTAAGATCGTCAAATTATGATGACAGAAATAAAGTATATGCATGTCGGGTGTCCCAAAAAGTGAGCCACTTTTTGACAAGTAGTTTCTCCACATTTAGATTAATCGAATTCATTGGAATATTTTAAAAAGTAGCCTTAGGGTATCATAAGCAAGTGGTATAAATATGAAAGAGATCAATTGTGTATTATCTGAGTAATGACATAATCAGACCTGCGCAATTACGCAATGAAACCTTCATGGCGTTTGTGCCATCTATCAGTTTTGTCAGTTTTAAAAGCTTGTCTGGTGACAGGTCCGTTCTGTCCAAGATTTCAGTTTGGAAGGATTAATTATGCCTTTCAGTGAAAGCAATAATGCTGCTATATTAAAAATGGATAAACGAATGTGAAAGGATTAGATGGAAGATGAATCCTAAAGAAATTAATTGTGAGAGTATGTGTTATGTAAGTGTAAATAGACTTATATGAACAATAAAATGCACTGCATCCAACATGCACTAGAGGAAGGGATAATTATGTCGTGGGTGTGTCATTAGAAAAAATATACAGCAGCATGTTTGATTGGATTTTTTTCAGACTGAAATAAATTACTTTAATTAGCCGTTGTTATTGAATAGTTGAAACAGTTAAATAGTTTTTAACAATACTTGGAAAATACCCATATATATATATATATTCCATCAATAACAATTTTCAAAGATCTCGGCTAATCTATTGCTGAGAAAACACTTGTCAAAAATGATAAAGTTTATCATGCAACATTGTTGTAGCTAGGATGTGTGTGTGTTTTGTATTTAAAAGGTTACTTACATTAATTTGCTGACTTTTTCCTTTTTCTCTTTATAATTCCAGGAATTTGTGTAAATATTTCTGGTTCAACTCCAACCCAGTGCTCAGTCATAGTTGCGAGAAGACGGTTTAGGTTATTTTTCATCCCTGCCATTTTTCTATCCAAAGTATTAAATTGATGATGTAATGACTCTCCACCTTGTTCTCCGTGGAGCGCCATGCCACAATTATACTTTTCAATCCATTCACAAACATGGTCCTCGAGGAAATGTTGTTTTGGAATTATACTTATTTTGGGAAAGTTTTTTCTAAATGATTCCATGTATTTGTTTATATCATTTTGAATTTCATCCACATCACTATTTTCTATTTTATTGTCCGATGAAACTTTATAGTGAATTGTAGAGAATAGGTTGTTAACCTCTCTGAACTTGTTAACCATTTTTGTCGCAGATTTTAAGCATTTTTTCTGGCATGGTAATCCTTTTGTCACATTTTCAGTCTTTATTATAACTGCATCACAAACAGCATTAAAAACATTGGGCTTCAAATATTTGTGACAATGGTTTCCGACAAAGCTTTTGCCATGGTAGTTAGATCTGTGGATTTGGTGTTTTTTGAGAGTTGAGTCTATTGAATATGCTATTGGTCCCGATTCTATGTCAAGCTTTGTTTTGGCATCTAATTCTTCCAATTGTGCCGTCAATTGTTCTTTCTTTGTTCCATTGCTGGTCTTTTTAATTGTTTCAAAGAGGAGTTTTTGTTTACTAATATTTGAGATATGCTCTCCAAATACTGTATTGTCGGTGTATGTGTTCAGGGTACTATGGTCTGCCAACTCTGCAGCAATATGATTATCTATGGCATGACACTTCTCTAAAAGGACATCATGGTGTTTTTTAACCACGCCTAAGACAATATGTAGGTAGGGAGGGCAGATGCGCTCTATAGGAATGTTACATATTGGCTTGTTAATTACATTTTTGTGTAATTTTGCATTTTTTAATAGGCCCTTTCCTTTGATCTGAAAATCTTCTTGATGTTTTTTCATATTCTCTAATGTTCTTTTTGGTAATTTACCCCTGACAGTAAGTGGTATCCCTAAATCCCGAGATGGTATCTCACACCACAGGCAGGGATGGCATCCATTAGCCCCCGTGATGCCCATAAATGTTGCTAGGAAAGCAAAGTCACCAAATAGAAATACACGAATTGTTTTACCTTGCCATTTCTGTCCATCGAGGTGTGCAATTTGGCCACTGTATCTCCCAAGCGCAATGTCAAGGTTTGGCCGAGAGTCCTTGGCATTGAAACAGGTAAATGCAACTGTGTTCTTAGGGGAATTTGGCGAATCAGTATTTAATACCTGGTATGACATCTTAAAAGACGATCCTCCATGATCACCCCCAACTTTGACATAGATGTGATCTTTTGGAATGCTTTCATTATTCCAGTTTAGCAAATTCTGAGCTGACATTTTATTTATTCTTGATACCACTGTATTGTTTAAGTTTTGAACAAATACCATGGGCTTGCTTGATCGAATCAATCCCTTTTTGGCATGTGGAGCTGTTTTGTCCTTACAATGGAATTTCACCAATTCTGCTTTTAAGCTTTTACCTATGAATTTGTTGCGTAATTTTCGTTCACTTGTTTCACTTGAATATTTAATTCCAATCTTGCGCAGGTATCTTTTTATTATACTTAATTGGTACCAAGAGAGTTTTGCTGTAGATTTCATTGATAAGCAGTATTTCTTAGGTAACTTTGAAGCAGCAAATCCCAAGTTTTTTGCCATCTCTTGTCTTCGCTTCTTTGAATGGAGTTTAAATTCCCTTGTCATTTGTGCGTTTAAAGAATTATTATCCTTTCCCGATGATACATCACGAATTTTATTGATAAATTTAGCTCTTTTTCGTTTGGTTGGAGTTCTGGCTTGGGAACTGGGTGTTTGCATCTTAGTTATTTTTGTGAACAGTAGGGGCTGGAAATATCAAATGTTGAGTTGTATTTCCTTGTAAGGGAAAGATAACTTCAATTCTCTGTTAATGATAAGTGGAATAATTGGAGTGCTTTTAGATTTAAGTTTTATTACCCATGTATAATTGGTGTGAATAGTCATCATTAGAAATGATACTTAAATTATTTGCTTGAACAATATGAATGCACTTATGAATTAAAATGTAATATTGGTTTTATAAGAATTAATTGAACTTTAATGCAATATTATAATTACCTTTCCTCTTGTTTTACATCTTAGCATTTCTCCATCTGAGTTGTGTAATGATCTCCTAACAAGGGCTGTAAGAAGTTTTTCCTCTAAAGTTGTCAATTTTTCTGTTTTACTCTTCAATAAAACATTTCGTATTGTCTCTTCATCATTGTCGCGTTTTTCCTTTCCAGGAGAACTCTGTGTGGAATTGTCACACTTTTTTGGAGTACTTAGTAAAAAACTAATTTCCACAAGCGATTCAGTTGGATCACTTTTTGCATTTTTGATTGGAGAAGTATGTACGAGGGGTGGTTCAAAAGTAATGGACAAAATTTTATAGGCACGCTTACCTTTACCAGATTTGAATGAAACTTTGTACAAATAAAGATTAATCAATTATCTATTAGATGTTAAAATTTTATTAACTAAATGCAAATACATTTTGAGATAGAGCACTTCTCTTGGATCATGGTGCATACACCCGGAATCCATTTTAAGGCTATTTTCATCATAATAACAAATGGATTTTCAATGAAAAGTTTGCTGGTGCAATATATTTTGCAATGCAAGATGTATATGAAAAGCATATCGCAGTAAGTTCAATAATAATCCATATCATTCCTTATTATTCCTGATGATCATCCATTTGAATTATATTCAATCCTCAATGTATTCTCCTCCAAGTTCAATTACTTTCTTCTGTCGGTGCACCCATGCAGAGAACACATGCCCAAATCCACCAGCAGCCATGGTGTTCGGCTGTTTTTGTACAGCCATTTCCAGCTCAGCTAATGTCTGAAAGGATTGTCCCTTTAATGCCATCTTAAGGGTGGGAAAAAGATAGAAATCACAAGGAGCAGTATCAGGGCTATATGGAGCATGTGGAAGTTGAGGCATGTCCATGAATGCTGCAAGAGTATCCTGAACTAGCTTGGACCTGTGTGCTGGGGCATTGTCCATGTGTAACAAACGATTGTCTCTTGTGTCTTTCCTTTTCTTTTGAAGTGCCTGTCTTAGAAATATCATTGTGATGTCATAGCACAATTGGTTGCTGAATTTAGAACTCAACAGCAAACACATGGGCATATGAGTCTTGCTTGACAATTGCATTACCATGCTTGTTAGACATATCATGTGTGGTAATTGAGTCATTAAAACGAAATCAAGCAAAAATGACAAAAACATTCAATTATCATTAAAAAACCAATTCCACCCATGCTTACCCTTGTTACCATGGTTACGCATAGCTGAAACAATTTCAAATGCATTTAAATGAGAATTCGACACAAAATAGAGAATTGATTGATCTATTCACTGTGAAAAAATTAGACTGATTGGGTGAAATTTAGTATGCCTATAAAATTTTGTCCATTACTTTTGAATCACCCCTCGTATAGCGGATATGTTAGTCAAAGATAAATCAGTTGAATCACCAGTTGAATCCAAGTCTGATTGATCCGTAGAATTCTCCTCACCATCTCTCAGTTTCGAATGTTTTTTACCAGGATTTCGGAATGTATTTTGCTCTTCATATTTTTTGCAAACAATGCAGTCATCTATTAGTGATAGTTCTTTACACCACATCAATTGATTGTTCTTCACTTCCTGAATATAGTTTGGACTTACTGAATTCTTTTTAAATTTTACATTCCTGTAGCAACTCTGACATACGCATGTTGGATAGTTTTCACCTTCTTTTAAATCCATGTTTAACAACGAATTTGCATCTTGGTTGATACTCTTGAAACTTCTGAAAGTTTTTTTTACTTTGCTTAGCACTTCTAAGTTTTGTCATACATAGTCTACACATGTTTTCTAATGCTTTTTTGTGTAAAGTCAAATGTGTCTGTAGAGACTCCATCTTGATGTCTGATAATGTGAACTTAGAAATGATGGTGAGGATCTTCAAATCTAATTTAAATCAGTTATATAGATAAGGCATTTGAGATATTTACATGAATGGATAGGGGATGAATTGATGTAAATCATGGTACCACATTTATGTAATAGTAAACGTAAAATCTTGAGAAAATTTGGTGGAACTAATTATTCAAGTTGCAAAATCTTAAAATTATCTACCAGACCACTCATTATAAAGCCATTCAGAACTTTCTCCATGAATCATTAACCCTTCTGATATCTCTAACAATAGTATAATACATATGGGGGAGTGTTATTTAACAGTCAAAAAGCATATATATTAAAGGGTTAATGGTTTATTCAGAACTTTACAGCAATAAGCAAATCAGAGTGGTCAGTTTGCTGCCATGTTGTTTCTGCATGTTGCCAAGGCAGTTCGGACATCCGATATATACTGTATGTATTTAGAATATGACGTATCTTCTTAGCACTTATTGACCCTCAAATACTTCAGAATCCAAACACAATATAAGTTTCACGTACATTACAATTACAAAGTAGGATATGAGCTGAAACAAATTGAACATGAACTAGAATATAAGATAAATGAAGTAAGCTTATACAAAAGTTAAATAAAATATAACTTAAAACAACTTGTAACTTATACATAAAATGAACTATGTTTGCTCAAGTAACTTAAAAGGAATACCTAAAATTAAAATGAGATATTCGAAATATCTTCCACGAGGTGAGTTGCATTTTACTAATGATACATTTTTCCACAAACCGTTGAATTCAGTTTCTTACATTATCAATGACCAATTCTCGATCACGAAATATATGGAAAAGGAGTTTGCGTACATCATGTTTATATAAATTCATGGCGGTAAGTGGAACAAGAAAATCAAGTGAAAATGACACTAGAAAAATACGAAGGCCATAATGCTATTTTGACAAAACTGATCCACTTTTTATGGAAATACCACAGAGAAAAACAATGAACAAACTACATTTTACTGCTTGTTTTCTGTTTGCTAGGTAACATGTTAATGACGTCACAAATTAAAATATGATAAACACTGTGATGTGTGACGTTTAGCTTTTTTGTCTATTTAGTTGATAGGGCAATAAGTAACTGATGTCATAATTTATGTTATATTACGTCATATCTTCATCACAAACACAACATAGATTTAGATTTAGATTTATGAACTTTATTACACATTCATACCTATAAAAGGTTAAGTGTACACAAAGTAAACACTAATTTTACAATATATCAATACAACAGAAAACAGTATATATAACAACACACAAAATTAACACTTCATAATAAATAAATAAGTAAATAAATGAACAAATAAATATGCATCATGGATAAGCACATAAATGGTGATTGTGATACGCGTCCATTGTTTATGTCATATATCACACCCTTCTATGTTATATTACATTTATGAATAAATTCTGCTACAATTTCAATTTCTTTATTTTCACAAGACATACAATATTGGAAAAAAAGTGAATCGTCCTCCATGTTGAAAAGGTGTTTAATTGGGTTGCCGTGTGATACAAGTTTATCGAGCATTTTCTTTCTATATATGGGTCTTTTTCAAAAGTTCGTCACTCAAAAGTTCAAATATTACATGCTCGATATCTCAACATTTTGAGAAGTATAGCCAAAAACGATTATTTTATTCAACTCAGTAGAGGTCAAAAAGATACTGAGGATAATATCAGGTGAAAATGTTAAAATTTGTTGAAGTTATTCACTTTTTTGGGCTTCGTGTCCAGCTGTTTTTGCAGTTTTTTAAGCAATTTTGAGGGGGTACATCAGAGATACATCCCCTGGATCTTTCTTTCTGGAAATGAGGCGGAAAAATGTGTTGCCACAAGTCTACAGAGGTTATCTATGTGAATCATTTCGTTTTCAGATAATAAATCTACCATACTCGAAAAATAAGACAATGTCAATTTAGAACTAACGTGCGTGATGCATGGTGTCAAACACCATCACGCACGTTATTCATGAGCTCCAGGCTGATTATTTTTACAAAAAGTCAGATGAGTGTTTTTTCGAAAGGAGGATACACCGAGCTCTCATTGTGTTCAATGCTATATGAAGTATATATGGAAAATATTTTTTATGCTCAGTTGCGTGCATTATCGTTTTTCGTGTCAAACTCGGCACGCACGTTAGAAAGCCTATTTTCATACAAAATACGCAATCACATGTGTAAATGAAATTGTATTTTATTTACACATTTACGCGATGTTATAGATCAAGTGGTAAGTTTCAACTCTGAAGCGGAAATATGGTCTTTATAAGTTGCTCGAAGATTGGTGTCAAACTTCGTTACGCACGTTAATCCGCCACGCACGTAGTCCTTTATCGTGTCATACTCTCGCATTAACGAATTACTTAAATTTCTCGTTGATATAAAACGATTTTCACACACACCTAAATGTAAGAAAGGGAACATTCATCTGGAATCAGCAAATATTGTGGTTGTTTTCGTCATTAATCTGTTTTTTGACACCATAGCTTAATTTATAAGTGATAAAAGTGTTCGTGTCAAGCAATCACGCACGTTATAAAAGATGTACATCTTGTCCTTATGTTAATGGTTATGTCAATAGTCTTGTCAGGAGTGCCAAGCACTGATTTTTATTGCTTTGTCTAATCTCAGTTTCACAGTTCAGAAAATTTCGTCAATTATTGTATGCAGAAAATAGAATAGAATCAATAAAATTCTAACGTGCGTGACGTTTGACACCAATGGACAAAGTGATTGAGCGTCGGTTCAGATGGACTCAATTCTTCTCGACTTCACTGAAAACAAATGCTTTATGCATGGTTATTTGAATTATATATTAATGATCTTTGATCGACTATTTAGACTATTTATTCCATAAATGATATTGCATTGATAGAAATTGCTAAAGTTTTGTTCCACATAGACCATTCGCAATTTAGATTCGTCCCGGCTGTATTTTTTACATGAACGCATTATGTGTTTTTCGTTTTCTATTAAATTGCAAACCTCGCAAATTCTTTCATCGATCTTTAATTTTGGGCGTTCGTATCTACCCGTTTCTATTTTTAATTTGTGGTTACTGATACGAAACTTTGTTAGACTTCGTCGTAAATGCCCATTTGAAATTGAATCTAAATATGGTTCGAACCTGAAATTGCTTTTAAATATTTTGTATGTATTCAGTTTGCGACATTGGTCGGAATTCAATTGATTTCGCCAATAATCTTCAAAACTAATTTTTGATTTACAAACAACTTCGGATGCGTCAATAGTATATTCTTTTATATCTAAAGTATTATTGATATTGCTGGGAGTATTTCCTGAAAATGATACTACCTCTAATTTATCCATTACACTTTTAAAATTCAGCATCCACGATGACTTGTTGATCTTTGATAAGTCATTTGATGTAGTAAGTGCTTCTGATAATAAGATGTATGACGTATTTAACATGTGATTATAGAAATTAGTAGCTTGTTTGAATATATTTATATATAGTGGGTATTTCCCAAGCTCTCCATAAATTGCTAAATTTGTTGATTTTTTATTTACTTTAAGAATATATTTACAAAAAGATAACAGAAGTTTCTCAGATGGAAATCGTCTGCCATTTGTAAACCATTCATTCAAATCTTTTGTAGAAAAGTAATTCGACATGCCCCATATCCATATATAAGGTAATAATGGCGGACTTTTGGTCACGTGACTGGTCGACAGTCGGTCCATAGAACGAATGGCTCCGCCCACTTCGTGGGGGGCCTTCGTAAAAATGAAAGATTCTTGTCAACAATACAATTTTTCAATTTAATCACGTTTAATTTTTCCTTAAATAAAATAATTTTTTTAGTATTCCTCAACAGTGCAAAATCTAATAATATATAATAAAACATATAATATATTATATAATAATGGTCTCATGATTTATTTCAGCGAGGGGATTTAGCCAATTATAAAGCGTGTTACAACCAACTGTACTGGAAGATCACAATGGTGTGTAACACAACTGATAGCCCCAACCACACTGATCATCTAACAATTTTAGAAGAGGAAATCTTTAAAAGTATTCTGACAATATTTTCTTTCGTTGTCCTGCTCGGAAATCTGACTATGCTGTTTGGATTTGTATTAAATAAGAAACTACGAACGCCAAAACATTATCTCCATGTAAACATGGCAGCGTCAAATATCACATTGGCTCTTATAATGTTGGGGTCTTTATATATTCGAATCAATGGTGATATCCTCTGTCTGTTCACACATTCGTTGATTCTCGTTGGAGTGTATTATCATGTTCTCAGTTTATTATCAATTACTGTTGAGAGATTTATTGCTATCAAACATCCTTTTATCTATGCAGCTAAAGTGACGACAAGGAACGTTATCGTATGTATTGTATCGTCGAATTTGCTGTGTGTGACACTAGGGGTGTATCCCCTCGTCAAGATGCTGATCACCGACGGTGATTACGATGGAGATACAGAGGGTTGTCATTTAGGGGAAATTTCCCCTGTCGTGTACGCCATGCTGCAAGTCAGTTGCATGTTACTCATTCTAATCGTAATGACAGTTCTGAATGTGAGGATTCTCCAATCTGTAAATTCAAGCTTCCGGTTTGCGCAATCGACGGTTCCTGTGTGAAAGAAATTATGGTCCCCCAGGGATTATGGTCCCCCCTTTTAAAGGCCCTTACTGGCCCTGATTGTGTATAAGATAATAAGGGATAGAGTTGTATTTAGGTCACCATATAAATCAATGGAGAGTAGGACCATAATTTGATAGGACCTCCTACCCTTTTACACCGGTTTCAACTCGGAGAAAAAGCCTTTTGGTTCATACTCTTAACAAACGAAAAATCAGGGCAACTATGATGCTATCAACTGTAATAATATATCACATCATAACTTGGACTCCTCCAATGATAACCCTGCTTTTGTCATACATTGGTTTCAACATTAGCCAACTCGTACTTATTTCTACACTTACGGGGGCGTACACATCTACAACGCTTAATTCCGTGATGTATGGCTTTGTGTACAGAGAATACCGTACAACGTGCGTTCGAGCTCTCTGTAGCAAAATAAGAAAAAACAATAGGAAGACTATATGTCACATAAATTCTAGCACAACCACAACATATCTGTAACCTCATTGAATAATGCATCAACGTTGATTAAAATGGAGATTTATTCGTGTTTTCGTAAGTTTAAAACTGTTGGTTTTGTAAAATTGTACATGGTGTATCAGAATTTCGACCCACTTAACAATGCATATCTTATTAATAACACATATTATTTGACACATATTTTGACATTGTTAGAATTTGTCCAATGATCCTTAGGTTGTCAACGTTCCAGCACTGCACTAGCTTATGTTTGTCCCATTGGTCATTTAAAGAACCCGCTATAAATTTCTACCACCTCTCTGCAGATAGACTTGTTCAGGAAGTTGTCGACGACAGTATGCCTCTTATCCTAAAAATGATATGTATGTCAACGAACTAAGAAACATCACAGAGGCCAAACCAGAGATAAGACAACAGATAAAGACGTGTGCGAGTTTGATTTGCAGAGAGGTAGTAGCCATTTTGCTTAGTATTTGGATCACGTTCTTTATATGGCCAGAAAACGGGCAAAACCAATGTTACAGTGATGGGACTTTGTCAACTCAAAGAACATTGAACAAACCTTAATTATGTGAACTAAATAGTTGTATCCAATTGTAACTTCGGACTTATTCATTTCATATGTAATACTGACTTACATTTTAGTTAACTAGTCTTTCACCTTGAATGGGACTTGAATAAACAAATATAATTCAAGACCTGTAGCACAATGTTATAACTTTTATCTCTGTTAATATCCTTGTTATTTCTCGATTAGATGACCAAGATTGCTATATATAAATATCACTATATACATACAGGATGGCGTAATAGAAATGTAACAAGTATAATGTCAATATGTTTTATTATGTTGGTGTTTACCCGAAATTATACTTGAGTACTTTAAAAAGAAGCTAACCTGACTATTTTGAATCTGAAGATTTAAAATTGTTCCATGGTTGACTACACATAACAGTTGACTCATGAGAAATCTAATTTGAACCAGCTTCTCACTGGTTTAACATGTCATGCCTTTTCTCGACGGCATTCCAATATACCAACGCCAGCAGAATGGGCAATTTCGGCATGTAAACAGTGTAGTAAACCATGGAATGATTTTACTCTACTGGTGTCAAATTAATCAAAAGAGCTTGCTCTTAAAAAGGTAGAACTTCACCGTCGATCGACTTTTTTCTACAATTCAGCTTTTCTTGAAAAAAACATCCGTGCAAGATATGCTGATGTATAAAAAAGATAACATTAATAATTATGTACCATTAACCAACAATATCGGATAAACTGAGAGAACTGATGACTACCAAAAGAGCCAAGCTCATCAGCCAATATACTTGCAAATGATACATTTTACATGATCTCATAATCTAAAAAATGTGTCACCAAACTGTAAATATGTTTTAAACCATATTCGAACATGGCTGTATTCACGCCTTCTATGAACTGTAAACAAAGTCAACATTTCACGTAGGATATATTCGCGATCAATACCCCAGTTAATACGTGTAATGTGTGCCGTCATAACGGTGGGTCGTAGTAATAGTGTACCATGATGAATATTCGAAACAAGTTGGTGAGTTTTCATGTTCGAATCGCCCTTGGGGCTAGGCACAAAAGCTTTCGGTCGTTCGGGGTACAGAAAACGTTTGTGCCTAGCCCTGCGGGGTGTATTCGACGATATAACCCCTGCTCTTCGGTCTATATTTCTTAAATAACTGTATTTTATATGTTTGTACTACTCTGTTCAGATACAGGTAAGTAAATTAATAACTAGGCATTAAAATCGCCAGGGGGCGATTTCGTAGAATGCCGGTGTAAAAGGGTAGGAGGTCCTATCAAATTATGGTCCTACTTTCCATTGATTTATATGGTGACCTAAATACAACTCTTTCCCTTATTATCGTATCCACAATCAGGTCCGGTAAGGGCCTTTAAGAAAGGGGACTATAATCCCAAGGAGACCATAATTTTTTACACCGGTCTTCGTCACGGCAGCAAATTCGGTGCACAGTTGTTTTACAGACAAATTTCAAAAATGGTGCACCAAAATGTTTGAATATAGGAGATGCACTGCATGATATATACAAATTTTATAGAAAAATAAATCTGTGGGGTCCCTGTATGTAAAACAACAATGTTAACATTATTTTACGGTGAATGTCAGAAGTCAGGAACAAACTTTATTTTTACCCTATTTCATCTTTTTTTCAAATTTGGGGCACCCAATGGGAAATTTGAGGGATGGCATAAGAAAATTTGGATTTGAAAGACAACTTTTCTAGCTAGATATGGTTTATATGTTAAACTTGAAGACTGAGCATGCCATGAACAAAATTTCAGCAAAAGATAATTATAGTCTGTGGTTCCTTAAATATGTAAAACAGGAATTAAGTTTTACGTCATTGTACGGTGAAGGTCAAAGGACATGTCAGTAGGGTTTTTCCTGATTTACTCTCAGTAGAGTACAATACATCAATACAATCAATACAATACAATCAATTTTAGCAATTTAACCTTTTTGACCTTTTCAAGGTCACCCAGAGGTCGAATTTCAAAACCAAAAGCATATTTGAAATCAGAGGCTTCTATACTTCATACCTGCAAAATATCGGGACGAAAATCCTAATTTTAGACTTTGGGGTCATTTTACGGTCAAGGTCAAAATGTTGATAAAATTAAACCTATCTGAGTACAGTGTAATATAATGGTATCAATTTGGAATCAATTTGAGCGAATTTGAGCGATTTCGGTTTTTGAACTGTTTTAACTTTTCAAGGTCATCCAGAGGTCGGATTCCAAAACCGTAAGCATATTTGGAATCAGGGGCTTCTATTCCATTTCGCTGCGATTGGGCCCCATGTCTTGGTAGATGGTATATGCTAATTAGCTGACACATTGCCGTGTGTGGAGATATCATGGCAAGAAAAAATAAAATCCTATAATAACTATAAGATAAAGAGTAAAAGCGATAGCATGCACGGCATTCTTATTAAGAAATATAGACCGAAGGGCAGGGTTAATATTGTCGAATACACCCCGCAAGGCTAGTCACAAACGTTTTCTGTAACCTGAACGACCGAAGTGAGTGAGGTGTTCGAAAGCTTTTGTGCCTAGCCCTAAGGGGTGCATTCGATGATATTTCACCTTCTCTGAGGTATATGATTCGATTCGAACATGAAAACTCATCAAAATGTTTCGAATATTTATTAAGGCCCGCCATTACTATGGGCCACAGTCATTCCGTCACACATTACTCGTATTACCAGGGGAATCGTTCGCGAATATAACCCAGGTGAAATATTGACTTTGTTCACAATTTGTGGAAGGCGTGAATACAGTCATGTTGGAACAATAATTATATTATTTTTTACATTTTATACATTTATCAGTTTTATCTATTATGTGCTTGACCATGATCACAGTGATATCAAGACTAGACAGATGCATTAATTACTACATGAACGGTTGTGGAACAGGATATGATTGTGCATATGTGGATAAAACGAAACGAAAAAAATGAAAAAGAACTCAAAGATTTTGAATTTCATCTTAAAAAACAAAGGACGTTGTAAACAAAGAGTAAATATCTACCGGCAGTCCTGCATACATGTGCATGTACTGTACACAAAACAACATCACGAGGGACTCTTCAATCAAAAATACTTCATATTATGACAAATTCGATGTTATAAAATTGTGTCAAACAGATAACGTTGCACAAGTCACGAGGATAGCACCTGATTCATCTTTTAATCACCTGACTATTGTTTTTTCTTATCTAAAAATGTCAACAACAACGTAACAACGAGTGATCGTCGCAACTGTGCAATCTTAGTCATTGGGCATGTCTTTAAATTGAGAGCATTTTTTAAATCTTCACAACATTAGATCATGATGAATTAAACTGAATCTAAATACCAAAAATAGTTGGTTGTTTTATAGTCATTTCAGTGGCTTAATCGACCTGGCTTCGCTTTGGACCTAGAGTCAAACGTTGGAGAACTTTACATGGGCATCAATACATACTGACGTGGCAACTGTCAAGTCATAGCTCGAGGGAGAAGTGAGTATACAATATTTCTAAGAAATAAGGGTTGATTTTCATTTTTATGACGCTTTTTGAACGTACGTATGCATTAAACAACTCAGATCGGAATTTATTCCACAAGGACACTCATACGTAGAAACATCCTTTACATCCATGAAACCTGGAAACCTGTAGACAAGCCTCAACAGTCAATGAAAATGGCCGTCTTAATATTTATCCAGAATGCCAAAAAAACAATCAGTGCTAGTTCTATACTTCATAGGTAAAAACATCCCTGAAATTTTCAAATGAATCCTTTATGCAGTTTGGCTGGAAACCTGTAGACAAGCCTGGACATACAAGACTTTAGCACGGAAAATCCAAACTGGCCGCGTTTAAATTTACCCGGAATGCCCAAAAACAGTCAGTTCTACACTTTCACGGGTAGAAACATCCCTGAAAATTTCAAATGAATCCTTGAAAGGGTTTGGCTGGTAACCTCTAGACTAACCTTGACAGACACGATTTTAGGACGGATAATCGAAAATGGCCGCCTTAGCATTTACCCAGAATGCCCTAAAATTAATCAGTTCATACATAGAAACATCCATGAAAATTTTAGGTCATCCATAAAAAGGTTTAGCAGAAAACCTGTAGACTAGCCTCGACTGACAATTTTATTTTGAAAACTAAAATAAAATGGAATTCATTAATAGTAACTGTAAGGATTCATTTAGTGTTCTGTTTACCATGTGTACATAGGGTGTCCACGTGAATAGAAAGTAGGAAAACATTACCAGCAAAATTTAAAAAGAATTAGTAGTTTCGGATAAAGATGTGTGTTGTTTATAACGAGCTTAGAGAGTGGATAATGGTCATTAAGTAAACAAATAGAACAAAACGGGAAAGAACGTTTACCAAGATGATTCGAATTTAGATAATAATTACGCTCGCTCACTCACTAGATAACTTAAAATTAATACTGGTTGAGACGTATTCAGATTTGCCAACCTAAAATGAAAAATTTTCGGGAGATTTATAAAAAATTGCGGTACTTTTACGGGAGTTTTTTTCAAAATCCGGTAGTTTTTGCGGGAGTTCTTTGAAACAAAGCGGGAGTTTTTACGGCAGAATTTGGAAAAAACGGTAGTTTTTACGGGAGATTTAAAAAAACGGGAGTTTTTAGGGGAGATTTTGAAAAAACTGGAGTATTTACGGGAGATTTAAAAAAAAGTATTTTTGGCGGTAAATTAAAAAAAACTTGACTTTTTTTACGGAAGATTTCAGAAAAAACGGGAGTTTTTGCGGTAGATTATGAAAAAACGGGAGTTTTTACGGTAGGTTTTGAAAAAAACGGGAGTTTTTGTGTTCGATTTTTTAGAAAACGGGAGTAGATTTCTGATAAAACGGAAGTTTTTATGGTAGATTTCTGAAAAACGGGAGTTTTTACGGTCGATTTCTGAAAGAACGGGAGTTTTTACGGTAGATATTGGAAAAACGGGAGTTCTTACAGTAGATTTCGGAAAAAACGAGAGTTTTTACGGTAGATTTTGAAAAAAAACGGGAGTTTTTACGGTAGATTTTGAAAGAACTGGAGTTTTTACGGTAGATTTCGGAAAAACGGCTGTTTTTACGGTAGATTTTGAAAAAAACGTGAGTTTTTACGGTAGATTTCTGAAAAAACTGGAGTTTTTACAGTTGATTTTGAAAAAACGGGAGTTTTTACGGTATCAAATCCAGCGATTTAATTGGTTGAAATTATTATGACGCATGCGCTGTTAATAAATTAATTAGAACTTATAATCTAAGATAGATGTCACTTTCGTTCATTATTTCACAGCAGTCCCTACCCATAATGCGCCTTATATTGCGGGAATATTTTGTCGCCATATAAAAACAAAATGTATTCTCCCGACAGAAGTATGACAGAATATGAACTGGCTCCCGTTTGTGGACATTTGGTGTGCAAACTTATACCGAACTGATCGCAGAAAAGCAATTTGAATCATGGTAATGAAGTACTTTTAAGTTATTTATAAGGAACCATGGGAGCCAATCCTTCTTGGAGTAAAAGAAAGAAGCGTGCCTGCAATAATCAAGGTCACAAATTTGTCAAATTCCTTTTAAATACCGTAAAGTTTGACAGCAAAAAACGGAGATTTTACGGGAGTTATACCATGAATAAAGGAGATTTACGGCAGTTATACCGGAAAACGGGAGATTTTACGGGAGTTATACCAAGAATACGGGAGATTTTACGGGAGTTATACCAGAATAAGGGAGATTTTATGGGCGATTTCAGCAAAAATACGGGAGATTTTACGGCCATATTTTTTTTTTAAAATTACGGTACGGGTGTTTACGGGAGTTTTTACGGGAGAAAACAGTACGGGAGTTTGGTATTTTTTACGGAAAAACAAAAAATTTACGGGAGATTCCCGTAAAAAACGGGAGGTTGGCGAGTCTGGTATTGTAGACATATGTTACCATGGTAATGCAGCTTTACACATCTTACTTTTATAATCAATTACAGGGTGTGAAAATGGGTAATTCTATTGAGCAGTGGCGTGGAGCCATTGGGACATTTAATCCACGTGGTTCTATAGACAGAACAGGAGCCGTAGCTGAGGTCCTTAGACAAAATCCACGATTATTGGTGATCATTACCGTTCTGTTGATGATTGGTGGGATAGAGTCCAACCCAGGGCCAACATTTCAATGTAAGAGATATGGGGAGGGTAAATATTGTCCGTTCGAAGAATACAATTAGGCCTACTAGTATTTAGCGTTTCGTTATTTTTGACATTGAAATCAGTTTACTTTGTATAATACAATCACTAAATCGCATTGGATGAAATAATATTAATTCTGGATGGATAAACTTATTCTAGATACAGCTTCCCTCGCGCCAGTTGCCGAACGTCACGGCCTTGTCATAATTGAGAACAATGGCATAGGCGATTGCCTCTTTGAGTCCCTTGCAGACCAGTTGTTGCTTTTGACGTCATTGCAGGTTGACAAACACGATTTGAGACAACGTTTGGTCACGTACATCAGGGAACATCCTACTCTGGTAAGTGTTAATTATTCTTTTTTCAGCTTAATGCAATCATCATTCAATCTAAACACATCTATCGGTACTTTTTCGGTTGAAATTAGCATACCGTCGTGTAGTTTAGCTATTCCTTGATTCTTGCTAACTGTTTTCAAATACTTAGCCGAATGGTGAACACGTGATGACCATGTTTGATGCTGAGAAGAATGTAGAATGGCAGTCATACTTGGCGAATCGTGAACAGGCTTTAACAGACGACATTCATTCTGAACAACTAGAGTGGTATACCAACGACTACATGGCTAAGCCAGGGGTATGGGGTGACAATGTGATCATATACGCATTTACACAACTATGTGACATAGATGTAGTAGTATATACCGCTGGGGTTGATGAACCTTACACAGTTACAGCTAATGATGAAAATGAGGAGAGAAAAATAGCGAGACTTGGCTACATTCCCCATTTTCACTTCGTTAGCTTGTTAGAGAAAAAATGTAAGAGGTTATAATTATATACCAGACACCTATGTTAATTTTGAATTTATGGCTTATCTTTAAACAAAATGAAAATCCAAAATGTACATTATTCATCAAATATGGGATGTTTTAAAGCAAACGGAGCAGAACGTTTAAATCAACCCTCGTACATTATCATTTTACCCGCTCGCAGACTTCCCCAGAGTGGAAATATCTTTGACTTGTGGATCAATTGACCAATAGCTAGTGTAAATGTTGAAATGTTTGTGCACTTTGTGATAGAAGCATGAAATTTGGCACAAAGTTAGTTTATTCCATTGTGAACAAGACCTGAGTCATTAATCAAGTGAGATATGCCTCGTTCTGGAAAATCCAAGATGGCCGCCCTTTCCCGGTTCGATTTCTCTATATTTTTTGTTAAGGTTAATTAAAGGTAATTATGACACATAAAATACAGTCTATATGTGGAAAATAAAAGATGTTACCCCACTTTGTGAAGAAACTGCCTTATTAGGTAAAAAATGGTGTCAAACAAGGTTGTTTAATTCTACCCCTACTTTTTGCCCCTTCATTAAAAGGTTTGCAAGAAAGGTTTAAGAAGTTGACCTCAGAAGCATGCAATTTTGCATTAAGTTAGTGATACCATTCCTAATAAAATCTGGGTAAATAGTCAAGTGAAATAGCCTCTTTCTGGAAAATCCAAGATGGTAGCCTCTTTCCGGGGTCGATTTTTCAATACTTTTTGTCAAGGTTAATTAAAGGTTAAAATTACACAAAGATATAGTCTATATAATGCAAAATGAAAGATGTTACTCCATTTTGGGAAGAGAGTGCAATGTGAGGTAGAAATTGGAGTCAAACAAGGTTGTAAAATTTTACCCCTCCTATTTGCTGCTTCACTAAGAAAGGATTCATAAGAAAGGACTACACATATGAGCTCTGAGTAAAGTCAAAGTAACATGCATATAATAATCGCTCAAGTAATATAATTTCTAACATAGTATCCACCATATCAGTATGCAAAATAGTCCAAAATCAGTCTATTGCTCATTATCTCATAAGTTCCTGCCTTCCTTATTACTGTACAATACTATACTGTATTGTTCCACTACCATTATATAATGTGTAGACATTGAAATGCATAGAAACAATTAGGTTTCCAGTGATTAACTTCTATATTGGTAAACTTATGTTCACAAGAAATAATCAAAATTCCATGAGTCCCCCCTCCCTCATTACTCAGTAATACTGTATTACTGCATGGTCTGACTATCATGATTAGCCATTGAAATCCATAGAAACAATTTGATACCCAGTGATAAACATCTATATCGCTAGACTTATGTTCAAAAGAAATAATCAAAAGTTCTTCCCTCCCTCATTAATATATTATTGTGTGACTGCATTGCCCGACTATTATTGTACAATTTTTAGACATTGACAAGTCATATACATAGAAACAATTAGGCACCCGTGGGTATATATAGAGGATATCCTAGGATATATGAACGCATCGCTCACTCGTGGAGATGGGCGATATCCCCTCATGGATAAAAATGGTATCCCTCAAAAATCCAAGGATATCCTCTATATATGCCACTGTATATCTTCCGCTAATTATCTCCCACTTCAACTCTCAGGAAAATGTTTTTGTTCAATGTAGAAACAGTCAAATTGTTTGAATTTTTTGCTAAAGCAAAACTGTCAAAATGGATGTAGCAGAGAGTAGAATTTTTTACCAAAATGTTAATAGATTTCTGGAAAATAATGAGAGTGAGAACACCTTCAAGAAGTCAAACCTGGATATGGGTGTCCAGAAAACTTCATTGGATAAATTAGTAATGTGTTACTCAGATATTCCAGGCACTCGGTAACATAACTATATTTCCCTCAGGATATACCACATATCCGAAACCTCCCGTAATATAACCCTCATTGCCTGCCGGGCACTCATTAACATAACTATATTTCCCTCAGGATATACCACATATCCGAAACCTCCCATAACATAACCCTCCAGTGATATAAATATCAGTATATATAATAAATTTTCCACATTTTGATAGCAGTATAATGTATCCCAGCTTATTATTAGATATACCAGGACATGCTCAAAATATTTAGATTTGTAAGTCAAGACATAATATTTAATGTTAAAACACTTAGGCCGAGGTTATATTAAAGGATCCCTGATGTGCTTAAAAGTTGAAAAATAGGGATTGAAACCAAACCAGTCATTAGTTTTCTCATTATCAGCATTGTGAGATATTGTGTTTTATGGATTATGGGGACGGCTCTGCGGATAGATGTTGCTTGTTTGATATGCTGATGGACTTAAAAATTTAGTTTTTGTCTGTCCCACATCATTTGAGTGCTATGTTTTGTATGAAAACTATATTAGTATCTACAACTATATTCGATGTTTTAAGTATTGGCTATCAATTCTAAATTTATTCTTCAATGTGTATTATAATGACTTAAGTATGAATGAAATGTCCCTTGGTGTTATGGTCTCAGATTATGATATTGGTATTTGAATGGTGGGGGAGGGGGTATTAGTCACTGTTTCTCTTTTCATATTGGACCATGATTTGGGATAATTGGGGTTTATTTTCTATATGACTTGTATAATCTTGGATGTTTTCTTTTCTAGTTGTGTTCTGTAACCATTTTTTGGTATTTTCAAATTGGCACTTGCGCTTACATATTGCTAGACTTGTATTCACATGAAATAATCAAAATCTCATAAGTTGCATTGTCCAAACTACCTTTATGTACAATATGTAGACATTGAAATGCATGAAATCAATGTAGAACCAATTTCTCCACTTAAAATCATACAATATGTAAACATTGATACCTTCATGTGAATATAGGATACAATGTATTCATAGACAATAATAAAAGGGGTTAAATGAGTGAACCCTGCATTACACCATCCTTGGATAAATAATTGACTAAACCTTTACAATTAGATATTGTGTTTAGGTATCCAATCAAATACTTTAACAATTGGGCAGTTTTAGGGCTCCTAAATGATCAATTCTGACAATACAGCAAAAATTATTGCGTGAATGTCAGCCATCTTGGATTTCCAGAACTAGGCTGATGCTGGGCTGGTGTCACTTGAATACCAACTCAGGTCTTGTTGACAATGATATAGACTAGATCTGTGCCAGATCTCATGCTTCTGAGCTTAATTTCTTAATCTTTCTTGAAAACCTTTAAATGAAGGAGCAAAAAGTAGGGGGAAGATGAAACAACCTTGTTTGACTCCATTTTGGACTTAACAATGTTTCTTCTTCTTTCTGGAGTAATATCTTTCATTTTCCACATATAGACTATATTTATGTGTCATAATAACCTTTAATTAACCTTTACAAAAAATATAGAAAAATCCAACAATTTTCCAGAACGAGGCATATTTCACTTGATTAATGACTGAGGTGTTGCTCACAATGGTATAAACTAACTTTGTGCCAAATTTAATGCTTCTATCACAAAGTGCACAAACATGGCTATTTTAGTCAACATTTACACTAGCTACAAACGTTTCTTTCCAAGTGGCTTTTCAGATTTATAACTATATCCTCAGTGTAATGCTACCGTCTGTTCATTGAACAATACACTCTGCGGTTGTCGAAGGACTTTAAGAGAACGGTTGTTTGTTTTCTCTTCTACGTCCTTCTAGAAAGCGGGCAGAAACTAGTTATAATCGCCAATGAGCGCATGATCTATGCAATTGTTTTTAGGTGTAGTCGAGAGTGAACTCTCTGAAGATGAAATGAAGGAATATGAAGTGAATAAAACGATGAATATACTATCCAACCTTTTATCGGGGTTCGGAAATCATTTGAACCTAATTGACGATGAGAATGAGAACAATGGTCTGGATTCTACACGAGTGCCTAAAACTAATACTGAAGCTGCAAAAGACTTGGGTTAAGTATCATTTTCATAAGTAATGGTAGCGACATAATAGAGAGATTTCGCGACGAACATATAGTACCCCGGACAGGTTGAATGATGCAGTCGTGTTTTTACTCTATATTTGCGAATAGAACAACCATTCTTATTGAAATTTTCATTTTTTATTCTGGAGGGAATTTCCAACATGGAAAAGAATATTCTATCAAAATATCCAATTCTATGATTTTGACAGGTTTTTGCTTGAACAATTGAACTTTTAACTTCATTTCAAAGATTGTCTGCTAGCTATTTAATTTTTGGCTGCCTAAAGCCTTTCCAGATGTATTTGATGCCATATTAATTATGGCTGATCATTGTTATTCATTTTTGTCATATTCAATAGGCCTAATATTATTACAGTGCATTACGTAAATGAAAAGCTTGGCACTCTGGGTCACGTTTTCTCTGATAACGCACCCTTTTCACCACTGGGGGGTTTCCCCCACCATCACTCAGCATGCAACCCTGTGGCACGTAAATTGAATCATGCTTTGAAAATGTCAGGTTTCCCTGACAATTGCATGATAATATTTGACACAGCTACAGTATATTAAAATTGTCTGGAGGATCTAATGCCAGGAATACTTGAAGTTGGAGATTCGTAATGTTTTACTTCATTTTGGACAGTATTGAACAGTTCAATCGGGTTGAACTCGTGTCCGTGGACAAGAAGATTGACCTCCTCTATCTGGGCTTAATCTAGGGGACGCTTCACAAAACGAGACCCAGAGCAACACGTTTTTTATTGGGCTAATGCACTGTAATAATATTGAATATGACTAAAGTGAATAAGAATAATCACCAATGGCAACTGCTATATCTGGAAAGACTTTAAGCGGCCAAAAATTCAATAGCCAGACAATATTTGAAAGGACGTTAAAAGTTCAACTGTTCAAGCAAAAACCTTATTTTATTGACAGTGTAGTGGTTTTGAAAAAAAGCCTGTCAAAATCATAAAATTGGAAATCTTGATTAAATATTTATTTTCCATGTTGGAAATTGTCTTTAGAATAAAACTTGAAAAGGTACCGTCCCAACAGACCCCCTTTTCTGCCCCCATCAGAATCAAACTTATTTTGCATCTAGAGTATCCTCACAAATGTACTTCACAATAATATTTCAAAATTAGGTCAAATGATGAGCCAATGAGTCACTGGGTGCAAAAAAGTCAAGTTGGTAAAATCAATCTAATGATCAAGTAATTTCCTTAAACATACCTAAATAAAATCATGAGTTAAACCTGACTTTACATTTATTTCCATGGGGAATAGGTATATTGATATCCTTTAAGTAGCATCTACACCATACTTAACACAAGAAAAATGTTTGAAAATGTTTTAGTCAAAACACATGTACTGGTATACTGTCAAAATATTGTATTGTAATATATTTGATATTAATATTCTAAAGCTTTGATACAACATATTAGTATTTATTGAATTTCTATGGGTACCAATAGGTACAGTTGTTGAAAGTTGAATGTACAGTTTCAAAGGGGTCGGGTCAAAATATCGATGTCCATCAAAAAAAACGTAATTTATTTATTTAGGTCTAACCCCCCCCCCCCCTACCCCTTGTAACAAAACCAAAAATCTTGAAAATTGAAATTCCTAGGAAAACGAAAATCGATGTCCGTCACCTAATGAAATTAGTGTTTGACCCCCTCCCCCTAATGAAATTAATTACATTTTTCAATTGACATCGATATTTTGACCCAACCCCTAACAGGTATTTTTGTTATTTTAAAACTATTCCATGTCAGTATCACTATCCTCGGATAAAGGCAAGTCTTTGGCATCATGGAGAGAGTCACCTAGGAAATCTTTTGAAAACTGATAGCCTTCATGTCTGGCAACTCCCAAATAGGTGGCATTGTATCCAAAATGGTGGCAGAAATGTTTAGAAAAAATACCAAAGAAGTCCAAAAAACTATATGAGCTATGTTCTCCACTTTTTTGCAACTGAAAATGTTGCCTAATTCAATTTTAGATCTGCACAGCTAAAAATAAAAGTGGTGGAGAACATAGCTCACAGTGAATTTGTCCTTTCAATGAACCATGGTTCTATTCAATTGAGAAGGGTAAATAATGGGGGTCTGGATTATAATCCCTTTTTATGCCACATATCATGCATCATCACACATAAATCTGCTGGATACATTTCAGTAGGGATTACATTATGCATAATTCACTTAAATAATACTTGAAAATTGTTTTGAAGGCTTTCTTTACTACATTTTCTAAAGAACACTAAATTTCACAAATAATCTGCCATGATGGGAGTGGTTACAGAAATGGGCCAAAAATCATATTTTTTACAGAAATATTCACTATATTTTTCAAGAAAATGAAAATACACATATCAGTCAAGAATGTTTTGAACTTTTTTTTTCAAAAATCTATAATTGCGTTTTCATGAAATTTTCTAAGTCCTTAAAGGGATCCCAATAAGACTGTACCTTTCAATAAGAATGGGCTTTCCATTGCAAATATAGCGTAAAAACAAAACTGCATCAACCTGCCCGGGATACTAGCATGTTTATTATTTCCGTTTAACGTATAACTTAATCGTTTGATAACGTCATCATTTTTTGCGCAGCTCTATACGTCAATAAGTGTGATTTTCTTACTTCTAGAGCTGCGCAATAAATGATGACGTTACCAAATGATGCTTTCTAGACGTTTCACCCCCTGGACGTTTCACCCCTAGACTGTTCACCCCCTGGACGTTTCATCCCTTAGACATTTCACCCCCTAGACATTTCACCCCCTGGACATTTCACCCCTAGATTTTTCATCCCTTAGACATTTCACCCCCTGGACACTTTACCCCTTAGACGTTTCACCCCTAGACGTTTCACCCCTTAGACATTTCACCCCCTAGACATTTCACCCCCTAGACATTTTAGCCTCAATATTTTACTCCTCCATATTTCATTCAAGTATTTTATAGAACTGAATACCTTATACATTAGGTATAAATGGCATATATTATTGAACATATTCCTTTGACACATTTTGCTCAGTGAATTTAAGTTAGACGATTTTATGTAATATGGTTTAGCATGGTCTTAATTAATTAAAATCAGAATTTAATTACCAAGTGTTTCAAATAGCATAATCAAATAACAAGTACTGTAAGTCACTAGTTATAACGCAGAGGCAAGCAGGTAGTTACCAGTTTCAGCACCAGGTGGCTCATTCGGGTCAGATAACATGGTGGTTATAGTAGAAAGTTCCCTTGAACTTAAATTGCATCTGTTTTAGTGGTTCAGTTTTCATATAACCCTTATGTATCTAATAGTTATGCAAATCAAAATATATCCAGTAAAAGAAATGGTATCTGGCCGATACAAGAAATATATTTCACTTTTTGTGATTTTGTAACATGGGGTCTATGGGAAATCAGCCCGAACTAGAAGTCACATTTTCAAAAATAATTAAATTTTCAAAGTTGATAAATAATTTTCTAAACCATAATTCTACAAGTACTTTTACATGTAAATTTCAAATATGACATCACTTTGACTGAATTTTGATTATTTTAAATGGCGTAAATCATTATTTCTACTCGCATCTAGTCTATTCACTTGTTTTTCCATATTCAGTTTTCTGGGTTTTGAAGTGAGGTCCAGTCGATTAATTATCTATTGCAGCTCTTCCAAGAAATTGGTTAATTAAGAACAACTCTAGCTGCTTTTTAATAATGCAATTGTTAACAAGGGAAGGGATTGTCTAGGTAATTAGAGACTAGCATTTTTAATCAGTGCAAAGTGTAAACCTTTTTTAAAACTTATTTGTACCAATATTGTTATGGTTTTATACACTATGCCATTTTCCAGTCAATGTTACTTGGAAAAGAAATCGCTATACTCATATAAATTCAGTCAAAATTCACTAATGACCCAACCAATGACATTGTACATGTACACAAACTGTATATGGGGGTGAAACGTCTAAGGGGTGAAATGTATAGGGGGTGAAGTGTCTAGGGGATGAAATGTCTAGGGGGTGAAATGTCTAAGGGGTGAAACGTCTAAGGGGTGAAATGTCTAGGGGTGAAACGTCTAAGGGTGAAAAGTCTAGGGGTGAAATGTCTAGGGGGTGAAACGTCCAGGGGGTGAAACATCCAGGGGATGAAATGTCTAGGGGGTGAAGTGTCTAGGGGGTGAAATGTCCAGGGGGTGAAACGTCTAAGGGGTGAACGGTCTAGGGGGGAAACGTCCAGGGGGTGAAATGTCTTGATACCCAAATGATTCATAAGTTATACGTTATATTGGACTAATAAACGTCTTATAATTGAGTTGAAAAATCTCTCTAGTCGTTTGTTTTCTAGTTGAGGCATTCACTATTAAGAATCGGTTCAATTTCTGGCTAGAAAAGAACAGATGCCCATTTCGAATTTCCACTTTGTATATTAATATTACTTCTTATAATTAGGTAATACCCCGGGGTAATACATGCATCGACAAAACAGCAATGCGTTAGGTGCGAAATGTAGATATTTTAAATTTTAAATGTCTCGTTTGTCGCAACGCAAAAAAACGGGCTAAGAGCTTTTAGCTAAAACCGATGGATTTACACGCGCTTGTAAAACGTTTTAACGCCTAGACGTCTTGGCCATGACTAGGGTCCTAAAACGTTTTAGCTAAGCGCTCTTTGCCGAGAGCTCTTGAGTAAATCTGGATTTATATTGCATTTGTAAAACGTTTTAACGCTAAAACGTTTTAGCTGAGACGTCTTAGTGCGCTAGTGTAAATCCAACAAATGATAATTCACATAAGCTCTATTATATCCAGAAAATGATAATCCTATTTTCCTTCAGATCAAGTGATTAGCATGCCTGATCCTGATAGAGCTGAGCAAAGGAACGATTTAGAAAACCCGTTATCTTCTTTAAACGATTTTGTCAAACAACTGCGGAAGTCATGCAGACAACACCTCGAGAAAAGAAGTAATACATTTAAAAAAGGACTCAAGGAAGATGGGAGCCAACCTCTTCAAGAGTATCTGGATTCTAGGAAAGATGCAGCAAGTGACTCAGGTAAATTGTCATTAAAATTAATGATATTTAATTTATTAATATTATATTTGTGTAATACGAGTAGAGTAGACAAGTTCATCTAAGTAAAGATAATTCAAAGATCTTTCGCGACCTGAGCAGTAATGTTTGTGTAAGAGAAGATACTGAATTATGTATTGTACATACTTCAATGAATGTTTTACCGTATTTCTATCACACGCCTTACCATCGACGAGGTACAGTGACAAAATATACCGTAGTACACTTTAGATGTATGATGTCACTATTTAACCGATTTGAAGCAAAGACAGTGATGCAGGTGTGATGCAGGTTTTAAAAAATGCATGTTTAATTTCGTGTGTATTCGTTTAGGAAGACATGTAATTTTCTAATAACGTTAAAAGATTTTCGAACAGTGCTCCACTTTTTTCGTAGTCAATCTACCCACGAAAATTGATCGGTTGGAAAATGTTTGGTTTTTCACATTTCCTTTGGTCATTTTTCCCCTGTTGCCTAAGAGTGTCGATTATTTTTATGAGAATATGTTTATCTATACCACACAATTTAGGACGGGTGGAGATTAATAAATATTCAAGTATTTATTGTAAATTAAAAAAATCAGAAATGTGTATTGTCAACTCGAATGTACAATGTCCCTGTAATTGAAATTCAAGAGATATACGTAATATTCAACAATGTAATGGTTATATTTCAAAATGCATTAAGGTTTTTATGAATAACAAGTGATCTTTAACGAACATGTTCAAGTATCCTTTTTGCTTTTTCATTTCATGAAAGTATTGTTATGGCTGTGGTTAATTTGTGCCATTTTGGTGTTAGCTCCCATCCAGTGTCTCGGAATAGAATATGTTGAAGACTAGAACTGCCACGGAGTCTGCTACCAGCGTGTTTGATTAGTTGGCGTCTGTACCTTACGTTTTGTTAGCCTAGTTACATTGATAGATAGATCTACTGATCTATACTAGCTTATTGAATATGACTTATTAAAAATCCGTTTATGATATATCTAGAAATTTTCAATAGTTCAATCAAAATTGAAGTTATTCTGTAATTGTTCTGTTTTAAATGCATCTGACCCCCCTGTCTGTTAGTGTTATGAAAAATACGTTGTCTGCATTAGGGTTTACTGTGAATTGAGTAAGTTCAATGAGACAACGTACATTCGAGTTGACAAGATACACTTATGATTTTTTAAATTATAGCCAAAATGTTAATACTTATTAAATCTTCAACAGACCTTAATTGTGCTGTTTAAAGGAACAACAGGATCCTAAGAGGTTCTGGACAAATCATTTGATTCTGGACTTGACATATTTTTTTTCCAACGAAATCACATCCAAGGGTTGAATTTTTATTGGATATTTAGAGAGCGAGTCCTGTATTGATTTCAATAAAAAGGTTAAAATAGAACGCTATTTTTATGAAATATTATCCAAGTATTTAGATGAAACGGTCTTATTTAAATACAAATCATAACATGATGATATTTTTTCATAAAATATTTCTTCAAGAAATTCAATTGAAGGCTCAAGATAAAACGAGCTAATTTAGGTGAAAACCCTTACATGATGATGTGTTTTCATGACTTCTTTCATAAAATTCCATCAAGGGGTGAAAATAAAATGATCGAATTTAAGTGATTTAAGGATCACGAGGATAGGTTTTCTTGGATATTTTCTATGAAATCCCATCCAGTGGTCAAGGTAAAATTTTTATTTGGTATATTTGGTCACGTGTTCGAACCCATAGAACCATATAGGAACGTCATTTTGAATGTTACGTGATAAATCCATATAAGGCTTTTAGAACAATGTGGGGAAAGATGAGGGGAAACCCCTGACACCTGTTCACGATTTTATCCGAACGTTCATCGGATCATTTCGGTTTTTATGCACTTCATTATTTTACCGAAGTTTGCCGATTCGATTCGTCGTATTTCGGAATATTGGGGACAATTTTATACTCCATTGGGAGTATTTTTAATCTACTTCTTATTACGAAGATTCCCGAACCTTGTTCGGATTAATCCGGATTTTCTGACCTACTTCATCTACCGAGATTTAACGAGTTTACATTCGGCTCATTTCGGAATCCTGGTGACAATTTTATACTCCATTGGAGTATTTTTGATCTACTTCTTATGACGAAGATTTCCGAACCTTGTTCGGATTAATCCGGATTTTCTGACCTACTTCATCTACCGAGATTTAACGAGTTTACATTCGTCTCATTTCGGAATCCTGGTGACAATTTTATACTCCATTGGAGTATTTTTGATCTACTTTTTCTGGATTTTGCCCTACTTATTATATCTTTACAACAAGCAAATCAAAAAATTCGCCATGAACGGATCTCGATCGACTAACCTAGAGCATGGAAGCTAGGCACGTTAGCCATGAGGCTAACGTGCAACCGATACGAAAGGATAAAAGTATTATATATTTATACCGAGCGTCAAATCAAAATGATCTTCACTTTTGACTGCACGTAAATACAACTCGTCAGTTGTATCCAGAATAGATGAACGCCTATGGTACTAGTGAATAACCAAGTCCCAGGCGAGTGGTTCGCACCCCACCGTGATATGTTATTTTTGCTTTTTTAATACGACAGAAAGGAGCAAGGTCACTGGCATGTAGCGGTCCTGATATCGATACATTCTACACGCAATAAAACCAGATACCTGCGTGTGATTAAAACTACATGTTAGAGCGTCGATATCCTACAAATCCTATTTTTTCATAAAAATATTTTTTCATGAAATCCAATCGAAGGGTGAAGATAAAACGATCTTTTAGGTAAAACAGCTTTACATGATCTGGTGATGTGTTTTCATAACTTTTTTCATAAAAGACCATTCTCGGTTTGGAGAACAAAGTTCGTCACTCTAATTGAGCGTTATCCCTGCTTCGGACAAATTTGATTTTTTTACATAATATAGATTTGAATGTCTTCTTTTGAATAGTCATAGTTTAATTTGGGTAATATTTCTAGATTTCTCATATAAAAATTACTAGTGAAACACCCAACGTCGCTTTTATGATTCGTACCACTTTTTTAACTTGGTGTATTGCATATTTCCGTGGGTTGATTTGAAAAAAAGACAAACAACGTATACATGAATATGTCATAAGCATATAGTGAGATAATTGTTAGATTAGGTTTGCTATAAGTGACTTTAAAACAAAAAAATAAAAAACATTAGTTCACGTGTTAAAGTCCCATTGACCACGACATCAAGGAAAATTGAGCTTTTTGTCATCAGACATCTTTATAGATGGAACTAGCTATGTACTACATTTTTAAATACACTCACATTGTACATGTAGCTGTAATATCTAAGATGTTATTTTTATTGATGAAAAGATTCTTACATACTAAAGTTACATTAAAATATCAATTGCAATAGCCACCTGTTTTTAACATCCCTTTGTCACTCATCCCTTAATTATCTCTGTGTATCTTAAACGTGTGTGTGTTCGATGTTGATAGCACCCGAGTGCAACCTAAGGAGCACATACAATACATTTTGTGTATGCCCAGTCTGGCCGCCTTATATCTGCCTGCACCGAGAAATGGGCGCAGCTTTGACAATTAACGAATGATATAACGATATCACGGATTTCACCGAATGTTATTCATCCCTAAATAGCTTTTTTATTTAGTCTTATGATCCGACTGATGTTTCAATTTTTTGCAGTGACTCTGAAATTGCTGCGCCAGATATGACATCACAGCGACTCATTTTCCTACATTTAAATCACTAAACTAAATCAATTGAAACATAATCATTAAAGAATGAGGACCTTGTATTTTACTTTGGACGAGGGTAGTGGCCATGTCTTGGCATGGCTAGTTGTGCATTAACGTTTGATACTGTTGTGCGGATAAAAATAATGAATATATGTTAAAGTAGCACTAAACAGATACTTTTAAAGTTAAAAGAATATAGTTACATTTAAAGAATGGGCCCAACGAATAGATATTGAATATAGGACTCGTTTGATGAAACGTTCGTTCTTTTAATTCTAATAAACCTAGAAATCAATCAACGATTAAGTAAATTGACAAGACTTCATGTTCAAGTTGGCTGAATTTCGTGTAACTTAACTCTGTTATGTTTCTAGATTTTACATATGGAGAACAGAATTCGAAATCATAATCACAATCGTATTTTAAGGCAAATAGGCCATGAATATGCTTTTAGTTACACGGTGGATGATCAAATTAACACATTTTGGATGTTGAATTTCATTTCAAGTTCATTCGAATTTACGCATTATCGTGGGAAAGCCCATGGCATTATCCAATAAAATTGATATATATACTGTCTAGGCTGAGACTAACATATATAATGTTATTTAATGTATTTAATATACAGGATATCTGAGAAAGTTATGCAATATATCTACACGAGAAATAGTAGGGACCGAGGGTTGATATATTACCTTTACCTGTCGAAAATCGAGTATAAACTATGAGGATTAGATACGCATTGAATGTAATGGAACCGTCATGTAATAATTAGAAATGATAATCACAATCAAATCATGAATATTTTATCTAGATTTAAAGTGCTTAAGATTTATTTTTAAAACTCAACCGAACTATTAACATTTAAAAGCACCGAACGAATTTTCTGGGGATTGCTGATGAGCGGGTGGGATGGGATGGGAGGGATAAAATGAAATACTAGATAAAATATTGATACCTTTACGCATGTCAATCTCAAATTAGAATGCATATATCATTATCTCTTTTATTCTTCTGTATTGTAATACGATAGTCTGATTATTGTCAATATACTATACATGAAATAATGTACAACGTGTATTCTACATTGAATAACAAACGAAATAAAACTCATCTTTGTACGAATTTATTTTTCATATGACACAAAGTAACATAACATTGTTATATGTTGCATTTACGACTACTACAGCAAATCAGAAAATTCGTACAATATCAAACGTAAGAGTTGTTCACAAATACATTGGTAT